TCCAGAAAAAGGGAAAATGGAAGTTATGGTGCGGAGCTCACAGGGCCAGAAAACAGCTGTTAAGGACGTTTTTGTCTTGAGCAAAATTATCTGCACCGGTCTCTTGCTCTTCAAAACAAACGCACAAATAAAACATAAAATAGCAGCTTCATGTTAAACTAAAATCAGTGTTTTCCGATGCTCTCATCGCAGAGAGGCTGCTAACTATGGTGACAGACGCAGAAGCAGGAAAACAGGAAAACAGGGATCCAGAAATGTTCCTATCTAGAGCCAGCGTGTAGTTTGGCTGTTCTGGGCTACTGTAGAAACATGATGATCTCCATGGACGAGGACCCGCTCCCGATGTAGATATAAACGGCTCATTCTAAGTTTACAAAAACACAATGACTCTTATTCTTAAAAGTTGAGATTGGATCACATGAACTTTCTTCTAGTGACAAAGTTTACTGCTGATGTACTAAGAATAGCTATTAGCACTGTTGTATTATGGGATGTACTGCAGCTGGGCGATTAATCAGATTTTATTTTCAATTACGATTTTGCCTTCCCTTGATTTTCAAAACAAGATATTGAGATAAAATGTAATTGAAGCGCACCCCTTCTCAGCATGTGCTTTGCCTCGCCCCTTTATTAACGGTATTTAACAATTGTCTGCCAGTCTCAGTTAGACATTGGGTTTGGCTGCCATTGATGCTTCAAAGCAGTTTATTTGTATGGAAGTTCTTTGAAAATAAAACCGCTTGAAGCCTGCTGGGTCGTCGGCTACCCACTTGTTGGGTCTGCTTGTATTCATTACCTCACTGACTACAAAATAAAAGTGTCCCACCTGTCTCTGTCTAGTCTACACCCCTTTCTTACTCCTTTCCTCTTGGTGCCATGAACCTTTTCCAACTTTCATCCTTTCTAAGACAGGCTACCAGTATTCGGACATTGGAGTCAGATCAAACAATTGAAATCATACATCATTCAATAGCTTCATCTTCAGTGACTGAAGGAATTAAAAGCCTGTAAAAATGTTTTATGGTATCTGAGCTTGAACATCACAGTTGTTATGGCTGAGAGTTTTTGCCTTTTTATATAATTTTATTGAGTTATGATTGTCTCATCCAGTGAGACTTCTACTGTGTTTGACAGTATTATGGAGGCGAAGGGTCAAAGGTCACAGCATCCAGACAATAGACGGACAACTGTGAGGAGTAAAGACAGATGACAGAACAAAGAGAGAAATTAAATTTCTCTTTTTTTTCTAGTTGTTATTATCCTGTCACCATTTGTGTGTATTTAAAATCCATCATGGATTATGTTTTGGATTTTTTTCCCTGTCACACACACACATTATGACAACAGATTATTATTCCAATAATAAAACCTGAGCAGGCCTCATTAGTGTCGACTCCATGCCTCCCCGCAGCAGCACCAGGGGAGGATCTGACTCAGTGTGAAATGTTTAAATACCTCTCCTGTGGAGGAATAAATTACCTTTCTGAGCCATTTGAGATGAAATGGCCTCGTTCCTGCAGGTCATGTGACTACAGCTGGTGTTCAGTGTTCCTTCCTAACCTACACTTTTAATGTTATTTATCATCTGTGTTTTCTCTGCTGACATGGCTTCCTTTCACACATGGGCTTCATTTATCTTCTGTTTTCTCATAAGGAGAACTTTAATAGTAGAAACACATGATGTTTCTCAAACAGCTGCAGCTCTTTCAAAACGCTGCAACTCAAATTCTATATTAAAGACCAAGAAAACTGAACTTCAGTTGAGCTCTCTGATCTCTGCACTGCCTCTAATCTGATACAGAGCTGATTTCAAAACACTTTTACTGGTTTATGAAGCACTCCAGAGTTTTAAATTACATCTCTGATCTTCTGATACAGGATCAGTTCACCAGGGAAGCTGAATTTAGCTTCTACGCTGCACATATCAATCATTTTATTATGTCATTATTTATTTATTTACACCACAGAGAGAAAAACAGCAACATAGAGGAGGAAACATACGAATGATCGATGTTAAATTATTGATTTTGTCATTTTATATGACTGTGTTATGTGATGTGTTAAATAAGGAACTTACTGGATCTTTTTTCTTGTTGTCATAAAATTATAATGAGACACATTTCTAGTTTAAAGACATGTTGATTTTGTAACAAACTAGGTTGTTTTAACATTTTAAAAAAACTGAATATTTTGTTGTAGAATTTACAAGAAAAATATGTTATAACATGAACATTATTTTGTTGTAACATAAAAAAAATCTCTTTAAAAATAATACCACAACTATGCTCTCTTAAGACACCTCTTGTGTCCTTATTTATCAGTTACCAAGAGGACAACACAAGCAGTGATGGAAGAAGTACTCAGATCTTTTACTTACGTAAAAATAGTGTACCACAGTGTAGAAATATTCTGTATTCCTGCATTCAAAACCGTACTTAGCATGAAAGAATAATCACAGTTCAGTCAGACAACTTGTGTTTTAAATGTTTATTTCAGTTCAGAGTTTGGCGTCTAGACTCCGGCCTCATCACTCCCCACAGATATGTAGATACTGGAGAGTGATGATTAAAAATTTCCCCCCTTAGCTGCAGCCTGCAGGTGGATGCTGGGGTGGAGGTGGGGCTGACAAGGCATTGACAAGGCAAAGAGAGAGCTGGGAAGATTTCGCAGCTTAAATAGACTGCGGAGGATGTGTTTTGTAGATGACGTATGACGCATGTGCAGAGATGGACAGTATTTCTATTACTTGTATTTAAAATATGCATTTCAATTACATTTGAGTATTTTGTAATTTGTATTTGATAAGGCCGATAAAAAGCAAATGTAATTTGTAACAAAATACTTTTGAGTGGAGTAATTTGTATTTAAAATACTCAAAATACTTTCTCCACGAATCAAAAACTAGGCAACACATTCTTATAATATTGGGTGTAACAATATATATATATATATATATATTCTTTTTTGTTATATATTTTTATCTATATTATTTTTTAAACTTGGGTCATTCAATGCGCCCTTCAATGACCTAGTGGTCTGTTTTACTGGACTGTGCATAATATAGGAAATTGTATGTTGTGGTTGATGCTTGGGATGAGTACGCTACAAATGAATTGCCTCACATGGGATCAATAAAGTTAGGGTGACCATATTTTGATTTCCAAAAAAGAGGACACTCGGCCCGGCCTACTTAAATGATACTCGCAGTTTACTCAAAGATGCCTTATAATTTTAATATATTTAAAGTTTATATGTATAGATAGAATATTCAGTTATATTACAAAATAATATCTCTCAAAGACAGAAATTCAGATAGGCCCCTATAGATAGGGGACACATACACACACTAGAGTGTGGCTACCCGATCCGAGCCCGATGGGTCCCGACAGGTTGGGACGGGTTCGGTAAAAAAAGTATAAATTGTATTCGGGCTCGGGTCGGATTCGGTCAGCTTTCAGTGAACATGTAGTGTAAAAATAATTTAAAAAATCCTACCGTCTGTCCTGTTTATTGCTTGGGGACCGTTATTTACATGACAACACCTGAACAGAACACACACACACATTGGATGTTTGTTTCTACCTCCTCCTCCACCTCTACCTTCTAAGTCTCGGACCTCCCGCCTCCCGCCGCCCGCTCCCGTCTCAAACACGGAGGTCTCCCTCTCCGTTGAGCACCCACGGCACACGCCCGGCCTGTTAAATAGCCTGTAACCACTGTGTGACACAAACTCAGTGCTTTGGTCGTTAAATAATGTCGGGCTCGGTTCGGTTTCGGACATAACAAAACAGAATGACTGTCGAGTTCGGACAGAAATATGCAGCCCGTGCCGCACTCTAACACACACACACACACACACACACACACACACACAAGGAAAACCGGACATTATCATCAATTTATAAACACCCCCCGGACGCCCCGGACAGGATGTGAAAAGTGGACATGTCCGGGCAAAAGAGGATGTTTGGTCAGCCTAAATAAAGTTGTCTGAATCTAAATCTGAATCAGTTACAGTGCAGTTACATGTGGTCTCTAATTGCAGCATGTAAATTTTGAGCATTTTTGGTCAAGGACTTTTTGAGTTTTTCACAAAAAGATTTGATTCAGTTAGTATAGCGCCACCTATGGACGAATCGTGGGCATTCTCTCTGGTATAGTTACTCATGGTCTCTAGCTGCAGTATGCAAATTTTGAGCATTTTTTGGTCAAGGACTTTTTGAGTTATTCACAAAAAGCTTTGTGGATCAACTGACCAACTGACCGACCGACTGACAGAGTGACCTATAGAGCTGCGGGTCGCTGCCAAAAAGAAAAAAAGTATTTTCTGTATTTGAAAATACAAAATAAATGTATTTTATTTTGCTACATTTATTTGAGGGGTATTTTGTATCAAAATACATTTTGATGTATTTTTGCCCATCTCTGTGCGTGTGTGTATGAACCAGTGCAGCTCGAGTTAACTGCCTGAAGTAGGTCGCAGGCATTGCTCCATTACCAAAGTACTCATTATGTCCCATTTCAGAATAATATACATTGTATTACTGGGGTATAATTATTGATGCATTAATGTATTCATCACTTTAATGTTGCAGCTGATAAAGGTGGAGCTCATTTTATTGACTTTATAAACTGCTGGGTAGTTTAATCTATAGTAATGCTTCATCATTTATAAGTTGATTATATTATATTTTGTTTTAATAATCTTAATCTGCAAAGTATCTCCATTTGTCAAGAGAACCGAGTCCTCTTTCAAATGAACTGACAATGTGAACTGAGTCCTTTTTCTGTTGATCCACTTTTTGGTGCACTTTAAAAGGACTGAGTTCCGTTTGTTAAAAACGGACTATATGTGAAAACACCCTTTAATGGAAGATGGTGAGCTCTAACTCAGGTATGGGCTGTCAGGAGATTCAGTCTTGATAAACTTGTATGTGTCAGATGTTTGCGTGTGCCTCTGGAGGTCAGCCTCAGTGATGTTGTTGGTGTTTTGTCTGCAGAGGTTCCTGGACGGAGGAACGAGCGTTTCTACGACTGCTGTAAGGAGCCGTACCCTGACGTGACCTTCACCGTGGTGATGAGGAGGAGGACGCTCTACTACGGACTCAACCTCCTCATCCCCTGCGTCCTCATCTCCACCCTGGCTCTGCTCGTCTTCCTGCTGCCCGCTGACTCTGGAGAGAAGATCTCCCTGGGTGAGGACTCAGCTGTGTGTGTGTGTGTGTGTGTGTGTGTGTAAAACTTTATTGATGCTGACCAGCGCTCAGTTTGCTGTAATACATTCTCAATGTAATGTAAGTATGTTGGAAAGCTTGTAGCTGCCGGCCTTCACAGATCAGATTAATTCTGCGCTCACACTGATGGTGAAGTTAGCCATCTAACAGAAAAAAGAGTTTCCACTTCTTCTTTTCTCTTCTAAGCAGGTAAAAAAAACCACTTAATTGCTTGAAATAACTTATGAATAACAACACCTCCCAAATGTTTCCTGATCTTTCAGAGCAGGGATCTTAAACATTTTTCAGGCCAAGGACCCCTTTGGCTCAAAGAAAGATGGAGCAGGGACCCACTAGTACAAATGTTGCATAAAACTGAGTTGCACTTGAGAATATTCTTTGAAAGTTTTCGGGTCTTGTCTGTGCTTCCTTGTAGCTGCTAAGTCAGCAGCAGTTTTAGAATGGCTAGGTGCATTGGCCTCACCCTCTACTCTTTTGCCAGTGGTTTCTGAGGTGGATGTGGCTCACAAGAATGTCCGTACACTTGGAATAATGATACAGCTAATTGGCCACCATGTTTTAATAGTACATAAATGTTAGCTAACCAGTTCACTTTGCCATTAGGGATGGGTGCCATGCAATGATTAGCAGTAGCGTACTCACATTATAGCACATGATTCATGGTGAACACTTAAGCAGGATTTATACTTCTGCATCAAATCCACACTGTACAATGCAGAGCTGTGTAACGTACACCGTACTCTACGCCATAGCCTCACCGCCACCTACAAGTCGCAGTAACACAGACCTCCTGTCTATTTCTGTAAGCTGAAACCATTTCCCTCAGTGAAAACGAAGCTTTGATTTACTTTAATTTCACAGATAAGAAACAATAAATTGTGAAGACAATAAAGTCTCCACAAAAATAACATCTTAATGGTGCGTTCCAGGCAGGCTTTTGAACTCGTAACGCTGAACATGGTGAACCGTTTGTTTGTGCTTCCCAATTATTTCTATCGCCAAAGGTGCCTGCTCCTTGCTCATTTGAGTGAAACGGAGGAGGAGAAACGGTGTATAAGGTAACAGATGCTATTATACTTTTTATTTTACGTTATCTAGGCTGACCAAACGTCCTCTTTTGCCCGGACATGTCCACTTTTCACGTCCCGTCCGGGGCGTCCGGGGGGTTTTTATAAACTGATGATAATGTCCGGTTTTCCGTGTGTTTGTGTGTGTGTGTGTGTGTGTGTGTGTGTGTGTTAGAGTGCTGCACGGGCAGCATATTTCTATCCGAACCCGAACCGAGCCCGACATTATTTATGACCAAAGCACTGAGTTTGTGTCAGACAGTGATTACAGGTTATTTAACAGGCCGGGCGTGTGCCGTGGGTGCTCAGCTGCGGAGAGGGAGACCTCCGTGTTTGAGATGGGAGCAGGAGGTGGGAGGTCCGAGGCTTCTAGCAAGAGGAGAGGGAGAAATAAAACAAAATAAGATAAAATAGGAAAAACCTGTCTCCCTCTTTTATTTTATTTTCTGCGTTTAATCAAGGCGGAGGCGGGCGGCTGGAGGTCTGAGACTTCCAGAGAGGAGAGAGGTAGAAACAAACCGCCAATGTGTGTCTGTGTGTGTTATGTTCAGGTGTTGTCACGTAAATAACAGTGCCCAAGCAATAAACAGGACAGACAATAGGATTATATTTATTTTTACACTACATTTTCACTGAAAGCTGACCGAATCCGACCTGAGCCCGAATAGCTACAATTTATAGCTACATTTCTGACCAAACCCGGCCCGACCCGTCAGGTACCGTCAGGTTCAGATCGCCACACTCTAGTGTGTGTATGTGTCCCCTATAGAGGCCTATCTGAATTTCTGTCTTTGAGAGATATTATTTTGTAATATAACTGAATTTTCTATCCATACATATAAATTTTAAATATATTAAAATTATAAGGCATCTTTGAGTAAAATGCGAGTATCATTTAAGTAGGCTATGTCGTGGCCGGCCGAGTGTCCTCTTTTTTGGAAATCAAAATATGGTCACTCTAACGTTATCTGTGTGTTTGGAAACGTATTTTATATTGATTATTCTTGCACTGGAAACCAGCTGTTAGAGCGGCTGCCAATAATGCGTTAACATTAGGGTAATTTTATGTCTATTTCTTACCATGTATCACCTGCATCAACACCGCATCCATAGGGCTGCCATTGTTGTTTAGAGGAGTAAAGTAATTGGTTTAGAGGGCTGTGTGACGTCAGAAAGCGTAACTGGGAGTACATCGATCTGGTACGAGTTCACGGGTGGGAAGTTACGGGTTTGACGGCCGTTCCAGTGCACTTTCACGGGTTACAGGTTGTGAAAACACGAGTTACGGGTTGCCTGGAACGCACCATAAGTCTTGTGTGTGATTTATCCTGGCTTCATATGAGCAGAGGAAATCTCCGCTCGTTGCTAGGCTAATTTATACAATGTGAAATGCCATAGGCTTGTGCTAATAACGTTAGCATGTTGAGATGTGTGTGGAAAACGTGTTTAGTGTAGACGGTTGTTTTGTCGGTGAATGTTGTGAGTTGTAATGGAGCCAAATTTTGTTACGTTACCTTTGTTAAATGTTGCTGTTGTCCCTGGCTTCATATGAGTAGAGGAAAACTTTGCTAGCCACTAGGCTAATTTATACAATGTAAAATGCCATAGACTTGTGCTAATGTTATTAGCTTGTTGTATTTGTGGGGAAAATGTGTCCAGATAAAGACAAGTGTTTGTCTGTGAATGCTGCGAGTTACAGTGAAGCTGATTTGTGTACTTGTGTTTGTAATTGTCTCTATTAAGCCATATTTAATGTGTGTTTAATGTGTGTTTTGAATCAACTAAACTTTACAGCACTTTACAGAAACCCTGCTGCCGTCTAGTGTTTTGGAGGTGTAACTACAGAGTGACACAGACACACCACTGCACAAGTATATGCTCACAACAACGTAGACCACATGCATAGGCTGTGTGTGGGCTCTGTATGGAGCTGACACACAAGTATAAATCCACCTTGAGCACAATAAGTATTCATTGTTTATTCAGAGACCTGTATTCTGGTCAGGTGAAAAGCATCTGAAGCAGCATTTTACATAAAGTAGGATACTCACTCTTTAACTTGATCCTGAAACCTGGCACCTCTTAGCCTTCACAGGTGTGTCAGTTTTAGGCGTGCACAGTCATCCAGTGGGCCGGACTGGTCCATTTGGTGAGCAGGTTCACAGGCCATATGTTTGATGCTCCCTGGTTTAGACCCCTATCCAGTGGCTCCCAGCTTTTTGGCTTGTTTAAAAGTTTGTCTTGACAAAACAGAGCAAAGTCAGCTTGTTGGGTCTTGTGCAGTAGTAGCACAATTTTACAGATTTTTCATTTAATTGAATTTAACATTGATCTTTCACAACAAAAAAGCAAATATTACAGACGTGTCTCAAAGAAAATCTTAACTGTATACAGTAGATTTCTTCCCAATTCCTTCATAACTTTCCCAATCACTGCACACCCTGTTAGACTTATCCTCCAACCCTCAAAGTGAGATCCTGGTCGGGTTGTGGACCATCATAACTGTTTACTCCAGTTAGTCTGAGCAGGATGAAGCTCAGTCCTGACATCTCAGACTTTATCAGTAATGGACAGACACAATCCCTGCTCAGCGGAGAGACACAATCTGAAGCAACAAAAAGAAAGTTTGTTTCTCAAACTCTCTGCCAGCTGGAAGAACGATGATCATGTCTGAGAAGATTAAAAGTAAAGGCTGATGTTATACTTCAAAATAAGAGATGGTCAGACAGTCTGACAGCAGGGGAACAAAACCTGAGCAGCAGTCTGAGTGAAGGTAGCACAAGACCAAAACTACTACACTATAAATGTATAGTAAAACATAACAATACTAATCTAGAGGAGAGCTGAGGTCCAGTGGTTGTTTTTAAAGGGTCAGCTTCTCTTGTTTCTGTCCATGCAGATAGTTTTTGGTTTTATTTTGACACTTACTTTATTTAATTAGAGCTACTCTCTACAGAAAATAAAATAATCTCCATGGAAGCTGTCTCCAGTGTGTTATCTGGATCGTCCAGAAAAACACACACACACTGATTCTGGAAAGACAGATCACTCATTTTTTTCAGAGCTGCGATCATCACAAATGCAACCTTTATTTAGGCCCGATAAAATAACCCTTGTGTAAACAGTGTTAAGTCGGTCAGACGGCGGCATAAAGTATTTAGGCCGGCTGCTTCCTCCGCTGAGTCCTCATATGACTGATGTCTCTGGGTCGATACTCATCAGCCATAAAACATCCTGAAACAGGAAGTTAAAGCTGCCGGGAGACTTCCAGCTGCTGAGATCAGATACAACGTCTTTCACTGGAAATTTAATTTACACTTTCAATCAAACCTGAATGTCAGTGGGCCGTCGCTCTGCTGCTCTGAGTTACTGTCAGTGAGCCAGCAGGTACATATTTAACACTTTACACGTCATTTATATGAGGGCAGACTTCAGAAAGTGTAGGACAAGTTTATGATAAGATAATCTGATAAATAATATAAAGTATATTTGAAATATTTAAAACAAAATGACTAAGATGAACATCCCAGAGGAAGAAGAGAACAATAGCAAATCTATAAACAGGTTTTATGGGACACTTTTAGAGATGATACTCAATTAGCTTCTCTTTGTTTTTCTTGTGTGTGTGTGTGTGTGTGTGTGTGTGANTACATAAAGTAGGATACTCACTCTTTAACTTGATCCTGAAACCTGGCACCTCTTAGCCTTCACAGGTGTGTCAGTTTTAGGCGTGCACAGTCATCCAGTGGGCCGGACTGGTCCATTTGGTGAGCAGGTTCACAGGCCATATGTTTGATGCTCCCTGGTTTAGACCCCTATCCAGTGGCTCCCAGCTTTTTGGCTTGTTTAAAAGTTTGTCTTGACAAAACAGAGCAAAGTCAGCTTGTTGGGTCT